TCTCTCTCTCTCTCTATTCGCGATAATTGATTCGTCTGATCGATATAAATATTCTTTTCATCAGGATGAAAGATAAATTACGCGTAAAATCGTGCAACGACTCGTGATTAAAAGATTAAAAGTCAAAGTACAAGTGTTCTTATAATAGTGAAATTAAATGGACGAATCGAAGAGGATCGGAATCTTATTGAATCTTATCGAAGGAACGAATTACGTTTAACAGGTGAAACTATCGAGATCCCGCCTCGAACGATCTATTTCAGCGAATGCCATCCCTCGAATTCAAAATCCACGTATCTTCCTACGGTTGAATACACATTGGGTCCTATCGCACGATCAGCCGTGGAAGTTCAAGCTAATACCACCACTGAACCAATCAACCGTCCTCCTAAAGTTCTCTGTCTTCGCCAATGAAAACGATCGTGGTAATCTTTCAGATCGATAATCGAACTTGTACGAAAGTGATAGATGTATTACGAAAGTCTCTCTCCTCCGAACCTGAAAAAAAAAAAATCACCATTTAATTCGTAATATTCGAGGGATAAGTTCGAACGAATTTAAAAATAATTTAAAAATAATAAAAAATTTACCGTGAACAATAAATAATTGTAAATTATAAATTCGTATATTATTCGTGTATTATAGTAGAAAAGAATATAAGTTTTTGTGCACGAGAAGAATTCTAGAAATGTAATTACATGCCTTTATCGTACGAAACGAAAATTCTAATTTTCAACTATATATACGCGTTGGTATAATCTAAAAGAGTTTTCAGATTATGTATTAAACAAAAGTGGTAACTTATTTATAATCGATACTAAGAATGATTCAATGAACTCTAATAAAGAAAAGATTCTTTCTTTCAAATCTGATAGAAAATTTGTCTTCGTTGAAAGAGAACAAAAAAATTTTCTTTTTTCAAACCATCTATCTACCATTTAAGTTTCCATAGAAATTTAAATAACAAATCTTTAGAAATCTCCAGGAAAGTTTCCAATTTTTCTGACATTTTCCGTTTTGATTCAAATCAGTTTCCATAATGTTAAGCCCAACGATGAATGGCTTTGTGGTCTGGTCGACAGGCAGACAAGGCTCTTGGAAATTTGTCTTTAAACATTTAGAAAGTTGGAAGGTTCTCTAATTTATAGATATAATTTATAGATCGGCAATATGTCATTATAAGGTCATTGTCCAAAGGTGGTGGGTCCTGATATGATTATCCTCGGTGATTCAGGGGCCTAACCCATCATTCACTGATGGTCATTTCCTTTCCAGGACACACAGCGCCCGGGAGAGCATTAGAGAGAAGTGATTCAAGGTTGATTATCTCTCAAGGGGTGACTCCATCCCCTTAGGCCCTATGCTTGATCTTTTGCAGCTTTGAAGAGTGGAAGAAGAAGACCCAAGTGAACGTATAAGCAACATAGTTGAAAATAATCTTGTAGAAATATCTGAAAACATTTAGATTAGAAAAAATATTCTTTACAGTTAAAATAATTGAAATCTATTAATACTTTACACTTATAAACTTATAAACTTAATTCATTGCGAATTTCATTCTTCAATTCTACTTTATTTCTTCAATTTGGAGAAGTCCTTCATGCTAGTATTAGAAAAATCTTAATCAGCAGCCCACGTGCAACATCAGCCAAAAGAAGACAAGATCAATTACGGAGAAGCTAACACTTGAGACAAAATTGCTCCTTCTTTCTCTAAAAAGAAAAAAGCAATTTTTTTTTTAAACCAATTTATATTTACCGTATCTCCAGAAAGTAAGAAATTTATTAATCTCCATGATAAATTTTATTATTGCAGATATAATCTGAAACAAAAATGAAAATACAAAATAATATACTTTATGGCGAACCAATATCAAAAGTTCCAAATATTTCTCTAGGGCAATATTTGTTCAACAATCTACATAATAACCCCAATGACATCGTACAAGTAAGTTTTTTCAAGATAGCAGGTTGAATTATTATATCCCAGATATTAAATCGATTCAATCGAAGGACAAGTAATATATTATGGAAATATATATATATATATATATATATATATATATTTACAAAATGTACTTGACTTGCGTAATATTTAAATCTTGACATTTCAGATAGATATCGAGACCGATAAACGTTTCACGTGTAAAGAAATTCTCGACAAGAGCATAAGATTAAGCATCGCTTTGCGAAATTATGGAATCAACATGAACGACAGAGTTTCCCTTACAAGTGAAAATCATCCAAATTACATGATAGCGATGTGTGGCACATTTTTCAACGGAATTACATTTGCACCTTTAAATCCAGCATACACAGAAAGTAAAGTCAAGACGATCGTTTTAATTTATAATTTTCCATCAAATTATTCTCTTTGGATTGGATGTATTTCATATGTTAATTTCGCGGACAAAAGATCAATCAAATTAGGTTTTAATTTGTATAATTTCAGTCTCCAGTAATACAATTTGAAGCAATGTATATTTTTATCCATTATTTTAAAAATATTTTGATCTTGAATTTATTAAATAACCTGAATTGAAAGTTAAAATTCGAGAAAGTATTCGAGTTAATAATTAGATTACGGATGTTTGTGCATTCATTAAAGAAAAATTTGTACGTACAAAAATCTATGAAGAATGTATTACTCGTTTCTTTAATCTCGTTCAGAAAAAAATTGTATTCTGGCACAAAACCATTAATCCACAATCTATTAATACATCTATTAATTGTACGATAAATAAGTTTAAATAATTTTCGAAATTAAAAATTTTTAAAATGATGGAAAATATTCAAGTTTAACGTTTAAAATTTTAGGAGAATTCAGCCACATGTTGAAAATTTATCAGCCACGAGTGATATTCGTATCTCGACGCACCGAAAAGCTTTTGGTAAAAGTCGCGTCTACTTTAACCTGGGATATAAAATTAATAGAATTGGACGACGAAGCTCTCGATGGAAATGTGGTAACGTTGAACGTGTTTTTGGAAAAATATGGAAATATCGTTGACCCTCGTATGTTCACACCGGTACAAGTGGACGACAACGGCAAGAGAATGGCAGCCATCCTTTGTTCTAGTGGCACAACGGGTTTTCCAAAAGGAGTGATGCTCTCTCATCGAAATTTACTAACCTTCATTCAGAGTATAAGGTAAATTGCATTGCTCTCGCCACGTTTTTCAATATCCCCTAAAAAGTATTACAAATATTAATATTACGAATATTACACATGTATAACCATACATCACACATATTCTATTGCAAAAGTAAAAGTAAATATACTTCCCTTCTTTAAACCTACCTTCTAACAATTATTATTTTTAATTTATTTTCTCTCATTTATAATTCCTATTAAAGCCAGCCGAGTTTCTTGAACATTCAACAAGGAGATCGAATGATAATTTTCTTACCACTGTTTCACGGCTACGCTTTCGGAATGATGTGCAACTGCATATGCTCCGATGCGATAGTGTGTTTAATGCGAGATTACAATACGGACGCGTTACTGAGCTCCGTTCAAAAGTACAAGATCACGCATTTACCACTCGTCCCACCTATCCTGGTGGCTATCCTGAAACATCCAATGTTGTCGAATTACGATTTCAGTAGCGTGAAAGAAATATTATGCGGCGCGTTGCCGCTTCCACTTGACGTAAGTTTCAAATATCGCAATATACCTCGATATAATATATCGATTCCATACCAAATCGATCTTGGATCGAATTTCTTGAAATTCACCAACGTTCGTTTTCAGATTGCGAACGAACTGAAACGTCGCACGAAAGTGAAAAACATACGAAACGGTTACGGAATGACGGAATTGGCGGTGGTATCGAATTTGAGCGAGAGATCGTGCAAAGATGCCTCGATCGGCTCCCCGTTGCCCGGTTTCAAATGCAAGGTGGTGAGCACGGAAACGGGGAAGACGGTTGGCGCGGGGAAAGTGGGGGAAATTTGCTTCGCTGGCGATCAGATAATGTTGGGGTACTACAAGAATCCGAAAAGCACCGCGGAAACGATCGACGAGTGGAATTGGCTTCACACGGGCGATCTTGGATATTTCACCGAGGATGGAGGGTTGTACGTCACAGGGCGAATAAAGGAAATCATCAAGTACAAAGGTTTCCAAGTGGCGCCAAGCGAGATCGAGGCATTGTTGCTAACGCATTCAAGTGTCAAGGACGTGGCTGTGGTGGGTAAACCCGACGAGGTGAGCGGAGAGTTGCCGATGGCCGTGGTAGTGAGGCAACCAGGCCAGAACGTGACCGCTGAAGAAATTGTGGATTTCGTGAAAAGTGAGTCTTGAGTCTTGAATGGTTCGAGCAAAGTGCGAAATTAACGACAATTTTCCTTTTAGCAAATTTATCGCCGCAGAAATGGCTGAGAGGAGGTGTTAAATTCGTCGAAACTTTACCCAAGACTCCATCCGGCAAAGTTCTACGGAAACAATTGCTTAATATCGTGTTATCCAAATTGTGAACGAGTTGTATATATCCTGTACGCATAATATACACATTTCGAATAAAATCGAAACTCCTTTTCCAGTGGAAAGAATTTGTTGAAAAAAATTTTCGAGCGCAAGGGTTGATGGCTTTTTCGAATAAGTATTCGTTCAACGATCGAATAAAACAAAGGAAGAATTCGTGAGCAATACAATATCGATTCAAATGAGAAACTTTCGATTCCTTCTCTTTGCTCGACGACAGAGAAGAAAATCTTGAAATTTTGTCCTCTGCGGGCAAAGGGAAGAGATTAGGGTGTAAAAAGAAGAATGGATATCGTCGATAAGTAGACCGATAATTGGCCGTTCTTTTAGCGGAATAGTCAGAACGATCGCGTTATCTTCGTTAACGAGAAAGTGCGATAGGAATTTCTAGCAGTTTTACTGGATCAACGGAATTAGCGGTATCCGGTATTGGAAAAATTTAAATTTCACACCACCTACTCTACCGTGAGGCTGCTACACGACTATGCGGTGTATCGTCTACACAGTGTGTCCCATAAGTCTTCGCTTATCGACCGAAAACGATATTGAAATTTCCAAACATTTGCTTCATCCATTAAAAAATTATCATTCTCATAGGATATCCTTCCGTAACGAGTCGAGGAAAATTTCTAATACGAAAGACGATCCGTCCCTGTGAAACAAAAAACGTGAAATTAATTTGGTCGCGGAAATCATGGGAATAAATATCTGATTGGATTTAAAGCGGTTCGGCAAGCACTTGCCTGACAATCGTATCGAATCCAATGTCAGCCGATTTGCAATACACCTTGTAGGTGAAACAAGTCTATTGCTCCGCTACTACTGGATATATATGCAACTTGGTATACGTGTGGTGTACGTCTATGGCTGGCGTTCCTGTTAATTTCATTGTGACGATCACCCTGACAAATCTAATTGACGTGCATCAATTATTTGCCGGACGAAGGCCGCTTAACTCCCTTTCCACTTGCCAGCCAGCATGGTTTCCGGATAATTTCATTTTTCACGATACTTTCTACCGATAGAATTTTACTCCGTGCCGTTATGTCGGCCAGCCTTTCTAATTCCCAAGCGATGATCCATGTGGGGCTAGGGTAAATAGAAAATACTCTATTACTATATTGCATTGTGCGTGAATGGGTAAAATTTTTGAATTTTATTACAGTTGTGTATAAAAAATATAGGAATTTTCATTTTTTTCCTCGACGAAAAATAAAGTTTGTTCGTACCTTCGAATTTCGAATTGTTGCATCGTTGGAGGAAATTTTTAACCAAATAAATAGTTGGATGAATTTATTATGCAACAAACGATAAACATCTTTAATGTAAAGTTTCGTGACAGAATTAAGAAAATATTGACAAACTTTCCTCCATCTTCTCTCCGCTAACTCTTCTTTAGTTAGATTAAAAAGTAATTAATGAAATATTAGATTTAATATACGTTCAAAGAACCGTGATAAAAGTTCTCACACTATGAAACGTTTTTTTTCGCCTAGAGATCCAACATACCACCATTGTTAAAGAACTTTCAGGCAAAAAAGCAAGTAAAAGCAGATAAAAAAAAAAGTTCGAATAAGGTACACGTGTAAATTTTTCGAATTGAATTTTCGATTCCTGAAATTTGTCAAATTTAATAAATTGGATGCAAGAAAAGCCTCGGTGACAATCGTCAATTTTTATATCTTTAAAAGAATAAGAACTCGTTGGCAGACAAAACATGTTTTAACCTCGTCAATTTTGATGATACAATAATGAAATTTACAGGGCATTTATAAAAAAACGTGGAATCTAATTAAAAGAAGTTTACAAAAAAAAAAAAATAAAACTTTCTTGAATCCAACGGTATATATTCAAAGATAAACGGTGAAAAATTAAATATTTATATCGTTTGTCTCGTTTCATTATTGTACTTTACGATCGTCTCAAGTCACATTGTAAAAAGAAGAAATTGAATCATAAATATGAATCATGTGCGATATACGTGTCTACTATCCATCGATTCACGGAAGAAAGGTTGGAACTTATCGCCCGCGGGTGATCTCGCTGCATTGTAAAAAGAACAAAACGCTTCTGATTAAAGTTCTCGTAGAATATTCGGATATTCTTGATCAAGGTTCGATTACACGTGAAATTGCTGTTTATTCAAAATACTTACGTAGAATTACAATCTATCTCGTTCAAAATTTTATTCTCGATTCAAAACTTCTCACTCGAGATGAGATTCTAACCTATTTTTAGCACACTTGATCCTGTCTTTAGATAACAAATCTATTCTTCTCCCCTTTTTCTTCAATTATAAAGATTTACTTTATTATAATCAAAATAATGACTCATCGTCTATCAGTTTCGATTGTATCTCTTTGTTTATTCGCTATTTTTTTTCTATTTTATCTAGACCGAAGAACATAAACAATGCGCCTTCATCGCCACGAAGTAAGTAATCCTTGAAGCGCGACCATTTCAAATTTGTCGATCGCTTCGATGGTAAGAAGATCGAAGAAAACGTATAATTGGTTGAAGTTTGGTATATAGGGAATAGATAATCGAAAGGTGGAAAGATCGATTGGTCGGTAGGTGAGATGGCGTTGCGATAGAAGCGGAAGAACAGAAAACGGGCAGATGCGATGCAGTTGGCCGCAATGGCGATATAGAATGGTGAGGCAGCGGCATAACGCGCATAATAACGCGCGCTCGAGGCCTTCGTAAAATGAGATACGACGGTGAGGCAACGAAGCGTAGGAAGGAGGCAGCAGGGAATCGGGAGAAAGAGAGACAGACAGGAACGGATAGAGGGCGGGGAGGGTGCCTATCACTCGGAGAGATCCAATACAATGCGAACTATTGTACCCACGTTCGCCATCCACTCCAATTCCTAGGCTGGAGATATGCAGCTAGCTCGATCCTGCACTTGCCGCGCGCCCTCTCTACATGTGTTGGAACGTTACACACATACCCGACCCTCTCTAAGTCTATGTCGCCACTTCCGTAAGGATACGAACGAGTTCAATATGGAACGAATGAACAGATTACATTGACATTGTACCTCTGGCAAATGACGTGTTTCGTTCAAATTCAAGTTCTTCCATTCTTCGCCAGAAATTGTTCGTTTCAAAAATCTAGGTATGAAACTTTTTTATTTATTTTATCGTAGATTCGAAACTTTTGCATTCCAAAGATGATTTTCTCGTAAATATTGGAAATGCATCGAGACCACCATTTTACTCGAAGAGTAAACTTTCGCTCTCGAACGATTTTCGAGAATTTTATCGCGAGGATTCGATTTATGATGATCGAATTATGCGATGGGAAGGTAGAAAGAGAAATAGATGACGCGAGGCAAAGCATAACCATTGGCGAGAGAGAATCGGAGAGAAAAGGATGGATAGAGAAACAAGGTAGGAAGGGAACAGGCGTTTACGTGCGCCAGACATCCGATGATGCATAGTTGCTGTTGACATGCTGGAACGTCAGGCTCACATGACCTCTCGAGCACACCCATTATCCGCAAAGCGACCCCCAATTTGGGACAATAACCGCTTCGTAGAGTCGTGTAATAATTATTGGCCGGTTTTCAGCCTCATCCTTCTATCCTCTTCAGTTATCATCGCCAGTGTTTCGTCGCGTTTAACGTCGCGAATATTCGTTCGAAAGAATACTTTGTTGCGTTATCATAGCGCTGGTGCGTGGATATTTCCTATCCTTTCGAATAATCCTTTTGTAATATTCGTTTCGAATAAATTTAACGATGAAGGATTAAGATTTGTATCAAAAGTTATATAGTTTTTAAATATGGATAAAAGATGGATTCGGACAATGGAACGGAAGAAAAAAAGATCAATTACGCAGAGATTACGAAAGATTTTTATTTTAAACTTATAATTAAGCTTTCATGTAAAACGTGAAAGCGATCCCTTTTGATCAAACGAGATCATTATTCGGAAATGTTTCGTTATTAGTAACCGATGTTATACGTATATTCGAGAACGATTTAAAGCAAACAATATCATTATCTGGCTGCTGGCCGGTATGCAACAGACATTTTTATTCTTCAAAATATTTTTCGCTGTTTCACAATTTGATAAACAAATGCACGTGTTCACTGTTTTCAAGAACAAATCTATTAATATTATCGAAAATCATAAAGGGAATGAAATGGAAACGTCTTTTTATTGTTATATAAAATTATTTAATTAAAATCGAAATTCGTACGATTTAATTGAAAAGATAACGCAGATTAGAGACAAAAGATAACGAGAACAATTAACAATAAAACACGTAGCTTGTATAACCCAGTGAAATATAATGTGCATAAACTGTCTGAAAATTACGCGAAACAACAGGATGACAGGTAACACGAACGGTGAAGTAGCAGTATTGTCCCCATTTATTCGAAATTTATTAAACGATGATGCATCGTTTAATAAGCATA